ATATATTATATATATTATATATTATATATTATATATTATATATTATATATTATATATTATATATATATTGGGGTGTATATGCAGCTCTATTTGCTAGACATGCGAAAGGAGCCTCACTTGCAGTGGCTGGCGGTGCCGTTGCAAGGCAAAACGCCGGGCCGACGCTACGGCCACGTGATGGGCTACTGCAAGCCCAACATCATCGTACACGGCGGCAACGACGGGTAGTTATAATAATAATAATTAACCCTAAATAACCCTAATCAACTCTTAATAACAATAATAGTAAACCCTAATCAACCCTATTTAACCCTAAATAACAATAAATCGCAATAAATAACCCTAATAAACCTTCATAAACCCTAATAGACCCTAATAAAACCTAATAAAACCTAATAAAAACTATTAAACCCTAATAAAACCTATTAAACTCTAATAAACCCCAATAAACCCTAGTAAACCCTCAGAAACCCTAATAAACCCTAATAAAGCACAATAAATAACAATAAATAACAATGAATAACAAACCTGATAAACCCTAAGTCGTAACTCATCCTAAACCCTAACTAACCCTAAATAACTCTAAACCCTGCAAAACCCTGACATAGCCTAAACCCTCCCAAACCCTAAACCCTACGAAACCCTAGACCCTGCAGGTATATAGGTTTTAATCCGGGGGTATAAGGGTTTAGGGTTTCGCAGTAGGGGTTAATATGTATGCTTAGGGTTTAGGGTTTCGCAATAGGGGTTAATATGTATGATTAGGGTTTAGGGTTTCGCAGTAGGGGTTAATATGTATGATTAGGGTTTAGGGTTTAGGGTTTAGGGTTTAGGGTTTAGGGTTTGTGCACAGGGAACGGCCTCTAAGCGATGTCTGGTATATGGATGTAGAAGCCTCGCCCTTTCGCTGGAATGAAGTGCTGCTCCCGACAGACGGCAAAAGACCCTCACCTAGGGTTTATCATGCTGCAGAGGTATGGTTTAGGGTTTAGGGTTTAGGGTTTAGGGTTTAGGGTTTAGGGTTTAGGGCTTAGGGTTTTGAGGTTTAGGGTTTAGGGTTTAGGGTTTTGAGGTTTAGGGTTTAGGGTTTTGAGGTTTAGGGTTTAGGGTTTAGGGTTTTGAGGTTTGGGTTTAGGGTGGCTACTACACGGCATAGGGTTTCTTTTCTCTATACAGCATTGTCTGTCCTATATATATATACATACATATATATAAATATATATATTAATATATATATATATATGTATTTATATATATTTATTTATGTGTATATGTATGTATATAAGTATGCGTATGCATGCATATATATATATATACATA